TTAAAGTGAGTCTAGTCTTCTGAATCCTATTGTTTTTTCCCATGCTTTAATTCATTGAGTAATTACTACTTTTATCATATAGCTATTTAAACTGTATGCATGTTTCATTTCTTAGAGAGATTCACTCTTACAGTGAAGAACATTTTTCACTGGTAAGGTGATATAGATCTTTCAGGATTGGTTTTGATTAAAGCCATCATTGCAACTCTCTCCACTAAGAAAATTGTGATGGATTTCCTACTTATTTCTCAGTAACTGTTTTCTATACACCTGAACCATATTTTATGATTGTAGACAAATGAATAAGATCGAACACTGAACTAGTGAATAATTCATGTCAAGCATTGTGAACTACTGACAGCATCGCCAAAATATAAAAATATATTGTTGGGCTTTTCCCTGGTTGCAAAGTTATGCTCAAGTGCCACAGGGTTCCTTCATTCAGTTTCCACAAGGATCTCAAATTCCGCTGTAAAATATTTATTCACTGAATCGTAAAAGTTTAGAGCTGGAATGCAGTATGATGATTTTGAGTTCTTTGAGTTTCTTTCTCTTGATAGTGGTCTTTTAAAATTAAAATATACCTAAGAGTATTAACCCAGTAAGCTAATTCATTATAGTAGTTTAGTGATTTATCAGATTATATTTCTTCTTATTGGGAAGTCCTGAGACTTATGAAAGAATATGAAAGGATAATGTTAGGAGGAAAGGCAAGTAATGTTTCATGAAAGTTCTTAAGAAAATAGGAAATTGAGGAGATAAAGGTATTCTTGGAGGCCAGCCGTGAACTCAGAGTTCTATATGGCCTAGTCCTGTACAGTGACCGTCAGCATTGCTGCCAGGCACGTGTAATGTTACCATGGGAGCAATTAGGGGGAAAAAGCTGCTGTGTCACTGTAAAAAATACTCTTTACTCAAGAGCTGGATTAATTTATAGTGCCTGAAATTCCTTGAAATTTAAAGGAAAGTGACAAGTTGGGAAATAGGAGACAATTTTTCTGAAATGAGCATATTTCTCAACAGAGATGTTCAGTCAATTCCTGACCCTGTGCTACAACATTGGGAGTGGCAGTCATACCTGCAGAAAGCATGGCAGTGACTGCAGTGAAGCACCTCTACCGCTCCCGCTTTTTGCCCTTGCAATGCTAATTTCAGAAAACATGACTAGCTGTAGTAGTCACAGCTAGATGTACCAAGAGAACTGTGGTTAGCCTCTAATGTCTTGGAAAATTGCTGTAGACACAATAAACAAGCTTTTCTTTTCAGTTCCTGATGTATCTCTTGATAGTTTCAGGATCCCTGTTTTCTAGTTTTCTGATCCTCACCTGCTTCCCATGGGAATGCTTCCTGTCCCAGCTACCCACAAGCATCTGTCTACTCTGCCACCATTCCGAGTATCTTCATCTTGGTTGGAGTAGAGCATCCAAGACACTAATATTCCTGAAATAGGACTTAAACGCTATTGCTCTCTTGGCTAAACTGAGACAGATGGCCATGTGAAGTTTTCCTTGCCTAGTCTTTGTTGCCAAAGGTTGCCTGCTCCCAGGGGTATTTTATTTCATTGATGGCTGTGTGAGATAGTTTAATCTCCTATTTCCTGTATTCACATTCATTTTGCATTACAGTCTATATTGACAAAGATCTGGTCTTTGTTCTAGTTCCAGAATAATTATTTAAACAGTCCCCAAAAAATGGGGGCAGAAAAGATAGTATTTGTGAGCATAAATGTGTATCTGTAGGGCTATTCTGACAGGGAGGTTTATGGCAATAGATTTAAAAATTCATATTGTCAAAAAATGGAACTGTGCTTCAGTCCAAGGATTGAACCTGAAACCAATGTGGAAAACCTAGGAATTTCTGGTATCCTTATTTACTTCTTTCTCTGGCCTAGATCTTTGTAGATTGAATCCCAGCCTTGAATCTTGCATTTCCATACTATTGTCCATGAGGTAGAGGGCATGATTCCTTAGCCTCACGTGATTGTAATTTAGTAATGGTATAAATGCCTTATAATCATGAGATGGTTTATGGTTTGTGTAGCTCATTCACACCCATTTTCTAATTTTTTTCCCATAGTCTAACTTTTGGCCCTAACAGCAACCTGGTGTTATCTCTGCTTTATAAATGAAAGATCTAGCAAGTAGTAGAGTTAGGATAATTACAAATAATTATGAAGCAAAATATGTGTTTTTGTGATATTTATGATCCATTCCTTCATCTTAAAAAATTTCTTTGAGTCTCTGATTGGTGGAAGGAGAGAGCTGGAGGTTCGAGGTTGATCAGAAAAGGTTTTGAGGAAGAAGAAATGGTTTGTTTAGCGTGGAGACCAAGAAGTGGAATTCCTGTGGCATATTTACAACTATGATAGACATTGCCAATGCCTGCAAAGTGACTGTATCATAATGAAAGCTCTCACCCAGTAGCAGAAAAGTAAATGTTCTTTAAAACCTTGTACTTTAAAATGTTTGCTAAGCTGATGGATAAAGAATGGCGTCTTATCTTAATTTGCATTCTTCTGACTACAGATGAAAAGGAACATCTTTTCATATGTTTATTAGCACTTGGATTTGCTCTTCTGGAAATTGCCTGGACATATTCTTTGTCCATTTTCTATTGGGTTGTCTTTTTCCTATTGATTTATTGTCACTTTTAATGTATTCTAGGTAATAATCCTTTGTGTACTATGTATATTACGAATATGTTCTCCTAGTCTATCACTTTTACTTATTCATGTAATTAAAAAGTAATAAAAATAATAAGAAAATGAGAGTTACCTGTCAAAAAGCAATATTTAAGATATTGGTTTAATGTTAATTAAAAAAAAAAGAAAAGGAAAAAAGTGGAATTTGGAGTTAAGTCCTGAAGAATGGTTATGGTTTAGAAAGGCGTAGAAAGCAATATGATAAGAAGTTCCCGGTACATTCCAGATCTATTGAGAGGACTGACCTGGCAGAAATAGAGAATTCTCATTGGATTATAATGGGGACGAAATTGGATAAATAGGTTTTGCTTATAGTGAGGGGCCTTAAATGCCAGCATGAAGAATTTGGAATTCATCCTATGACAATTTTTTAATTGAAAGATGATATCCAATCAATATTTTCAAAAAATTAACCTGACTATAGTGTATCAGGTGACATGAGGGCAGGAAGCAGTAGATAATTATAGGTACATTAATGAATAAAAGTGAATAAAAAGGAAGAGAATAATTAAGGAGATGTTTTAAAGCAAAATGTGCCAGATCTGCAGGTTATGAGTGGCTGAGAAATGGCGATGTCATAGGTTACTTGAGAGGGAAAACTGAGCTTTGATGGGGAAATGACATTAAATCCTGGAAACTGGTCAGAGTGAGGACAGAGAGATGGGTAGAGTTGGTGACTTTGAGATTGTGGTTTTAGGTGAGGACATGGATGGAACAGAGAAGATTGGTTAAAATTTTAGAAATAAATGAAAACTTAATTAACAGATGAGGAAATGAAGGCAGAGTTTAAGCCTGATTTTTTTTTTTAAAGGGAGAAGAAAAGCCAATATAGATAGAAAGAAAGGGCTGTTCCTCTGTATAACAGGGTATTGGTCACTTGCTGCTGTTGACATCTCCCAGGCTGTTACCCTAGTTAGGAGGATGATAAAGCTTGGTATGTGTTGCCTCTACAGGGCCTCCCTGTATTCAGAAGTCCTGCCTGTGCGAAAGCACATGAGTTTCTCATGGGGACAATTAACTAATCAAGAGAAAATAATACACTGCCAAGGAGGCAACTATGATCCACTGTGGTTTTTCTTTCCATACAGATTAAATGAGTCACATATGAATGCAAATACAACCAAGTATACTCAAAAGCTACACCTTTAACAAAAGTTTTTTTCATATGGCATATAACATAACATAACACATTCTATAAGAAAAAATATATTTCAGGATTAATGTTTATCTTATATTGGATCTATAACACTTCTGTATTTAAGCTGTGGTCTGATTTGTCTAGTGATGATTTAACACTGATTCTTTTTTCCTTCAAAATGTTTTTAATAACATTTTCCTTAAACGTAGTCATGGTATATAGGCAATGAGATAGAAGAAATCAGTGGCCTGGAGATGTGCAACAGTCTAACTCACCTCAGTTTGGCCAACAACAAGATCATGACAATTGATGGCTTAAACACATTACCAATCAAAATACTTTGTCTGGTGAGTCTAACGAAATGTTATTCTTGGAAATAATAGTTAATGTTTTAGTAAATATGTAAATTATGACTTTTTAGGATTTTTCAATTATATAAAGAGCTAATTCCTCCATGAAATATTATTATCTTCAGCTTTGTTTGCTTCTTTCTATATCTATGTGTGTGCATATGTGTGTGTGTGAGAGAGAGAGAGATATCAATATTTCATGCTGAAGTAAAATGATTTTCTAATTTGGTATCCAAATGTAATTTTTTAAAAGATTGGCTTTTTACACTGGAAAGGAAGATATACTTTTAGCAAGTATTTAAAAATATATTTTATAATATCTTACTGGTGAAAATATTTAAGCATAATATTTATTGCTGTTAACACTTTATTGCTTTCAAGTGAACCATAAGATGTTTTCTGGGCACAGAATTTTGGCAGTTCTTTTATATTAATACACACTAGTCTCCCAGTTTAGAAAAATCAGAAATAGTGCTGAGAATAAATGAACAATTCCAATCAGAGAGTTTAAAGTTATTTTTTCCCATGGAGAATACTCTCACGCTATGTGATACACTGTGTGACTCTGACTCAATGAAAATAGAGATCGTTTACAAAAAACCAGCAGGTCACAATAGTCCCAAAGATAGATACAGTATTTTAAAAATAACAATATAGCTCACTAATTTGGGGGCTGGTAATATTGTTTGTGGAATATCCAGGATTCTTTCTTCTCCCTTTCTTCCTCCCTCTACTTCTTACCCTTGCATGGCTTTGCCATTCCTCATTGCATCAGTCAGAGGGTGGGCAGGAACGATGTCAAGCCATTGGCTTGTAGCTTATTAATATGGTGCATGAACTATCCCACTGGAGGGTGTCGAACTGTTGTTTGAAACAACATCTTGTGTTATCTGCAGATTTTTTGACATTTACAATATACTATTCTTGTTTTATTTAACAGCAGATCATTGAAGGTTGGCTGTGTGTTAATTTTTCTTTCCCTGAGCTTAGAGCTCAAAGTGTTTTTTACAACCCTTCTATCTCCACGGTGAGTTAGATGAGAGTACTGGAAACTCAGTCCCAAGGATGGAACTGAGGCACGGAAAGGTTTAATAATTTTCCTGAGCTTTCATGCTTTCTGCTCACTAAGGCATGTTAGCAAAGCATAAATGAAAATGAGTTTGATAAATTGGCTTGAAAATTTTAAAATTAGAAAAGAAAGTAACATTTTCAAATCATGATAATCTGAAGGATTATTGGCAGCATGTACTATTCATTTTGTAGTTTGCTAGAACCTTATCCTGTTCTTTATATATCTTCTCCATATTGATGTTCCCATTAATTTTAAGTGGAGCATGGTAAGTGCAAAGAGATATGGGGGTGTGCTTAAGGGAATGAGAATGAGCTTATTATTAAGAATAATAACACATAGCACTTTCATCCTAAGAGTTTGTTTCTATAACTAAGTAATCCATGTTGACAGTTCTATCTCAAGTAGCCTTTAGAAAAAGCATAAAATGCTTATTTTTCCCTACAAATAGATTTGGTGGATTGTTCTCAATCCCTGCCCCCCATTACTCATGATGAACTAAAAAATCCAGAATATGCTGTCATTCATTCTCCTTAAAATATTGAGAATAAGATTTTCTTTTCCAAATTTTAATTAAATCTATAAAATAAAATGATACACATTTGTTTCAACAGTTTTTAATGCTTTTGTTTTTAACTCCTGGAATCAGAAAGCCAATTGCTTCAGTTACTCTTGAAAATAATTCATTTTACAATTTAGTGAAAGCAGAATAATCACTGTACAAACCAACTGTTAATTCTTGAACTTGTATGATAGATTTAAGGGAGAACTGTGGTTCACTAAGGGGCTGTTCTGTTGCCCAGCATCTTAGCAAGTAATGACAATGCATTCCACACTTCAAAATTCATTTTGTCATTATAAGAGCTGCTTGTTTTTTTTTTCCTCCCAAATTGGTAGATTAAGAAGGTTTCCAATTTCATTTATTTAAGAAAATAGCTTCTCTCTAAAAGTCTTTTCCCTGCTAATCATTATAAAATAATCAGGAAGAACTGTTCGTGAAGAAGCTGGCTATTAGGAGTGGTGCATCAGGTTTTCAGCATTGGATAAAGGGTTTAACTAGATGATTTTCAATTCAAAAATTCTGTGATTCTGAAATTTTCTCAGTTCTGTTTTCTTTTATGACGACAGGCTATCTAATTAAACTTTTCTATGCCTCACTCAATTTATATCGTCTAACACTTTGAAAGCTGTCAGAGACACTGTAAAGAAGAATTACAGTCTATCTACCACTTCAAAGTTCTTTGGGAAAAAGTGTATTGTATATAAATTTGATATGTGGGCATATTTTGAATAGGATATTGAGATCTTATTGCAATATATTAAATTAATAAGGGTATGATGTTAGGTTTAGTGTAGTTTTTCTTTCCCTTTTCTGTTATACTTTCTATGACTTTTTTGAATGCTGAACAGAAGGAAATTTGACTTTACTTTGGCAAATGGATTATAAAAATTTTTCCTATTTATTTTGGAATTTTTCAAGTGTATATACAAATAAAAAGAATAGCATGATAAGCCCTCATATGCTATCACACAGCTTTGTAGATTATCAATATTCTATAATATTAAAATGTTTTAAAGAGCCATAGAATTATACTAATGAACACAAACCTTGCTCATTATCGAAGTGAGATTTCGTTTTAAAAAGTAGAATCAAAATGAGCTCTTGCTATTAAATGTACCAGGGAAAATATTGTAGATGGAAGAGAATAATATAATTTTTCAGTTCTTAAATGCTTATTAAAAGTTTTAAAAGTTTAAGAATGGGTACTACATGACATTAGTTGAAACCTCAAAATTACCCTTCATCATGATTCTCAACTCAAACTGAAAATTTAATTTTACTATGGCATTTTCTTATACCTCAAAGCTAAGGAACCCAAGGAATGTTAAGTATGTTGGAAAATGTACAAGAAAATGCAAATTATTGTTATTATTCTTATTTGTTGTGGGTACATGGGAGGTTGGGAAAGAAGCCAACATTTGAGTCTTAAATTTTTGTTCTATTCTCATTGTCTAAGAAGATGCTTATGCGTGAATTACTTAAAAACTTAATTTATCTACTGTCATATAACAAGTCACCCCAGTTGTTTTGACTTGGAGAAATAACCATTTTATTAGCTAACAGTTGTGCAATCTGAGCTGGGTTCTGCTGGGTGGTTCTTCCACTAGGCTTGCTGCCTTCAACTGGCATATTGGTTGGGAGCTTGACTCAGTTGGGAGGCTGGGATGGCTGGGTTTTTCCCTCTATTTAGTCTCAGGCCTTCTCTCCATGTGTTTTCTTTTCAGGCAGCCTCTCCACAAGTTCTGTTCAACAGAGTAACTGCAGTTCTTACATGGTAGCTCAGGCTCCCAAGACACGAAAGCAGAAGCCGTCAGGCCTTCATAAGTCTTAGGCTTGGAACTGGCATACTTCTGCCATATTCTTTTGGTTAAGGCAAGCTTAGATCCAGCCTAGATTTAAGAGGGGGGAACTGCACAAGAGCATGAATAACCGGAGGCATGGCTAATTGCAGGCCACCAGGGTAACAGACTACTACGGCCCTTGTGATATGAAGTGATTATATTTAGAATGTTTCTGAAAGCAAAATGTATGTGGGAAGTAAAATATTGAAGTGGCTCATTGTGATGGTGATGAAAGAATTGCACTAAATTTATATTTCTAAAAGATAATCATGGAGTTATGCTGCCATTAGGCTTTATGTGTGAAGTGTTAAAAGGTTATACTACTACCTTTTGTCTTTCTAACTGATTTGAATACTCAACTTGCTTTAAAGTTTAACAAAAATATTATATTCTGAGTCTTTCAGCTGAAAAACTGGGATTTTTTTCTGGGGGTGTGTGTGTATGTGTTTGGGGAAGTGAATGATGGAAATCGGGTTGTAGGGGAGGGACAAGAATGCCTTATTGATTTTTTGAGAAATTTTGGGAAGTATCCAAAATGAAAACTTGCCATTACAACTTTTCCTGTGAGAGGCCTTTAAGACATTAACTATATTTTGTCTATTTTAGAGCAATAACAACATTGAGAAGATCATGGGTTTGGAGCATCTGAAAGCCCTGCAGAACCTGGATCTGTCCCACAATCAGATAAGCAGCCTCCAAGGCTTAGAGAATCATGACCTCCTGGAGGTGCTCAACCTGGAGGATAATAAGGTAGTGTTGTGCTTCCTATGTCTCAGTGTCTACATAGGAGGACATTTTAGAGACTCAGCACAAACACCCCATTATTGGTTTCTCAAGGGTAGTCACATTAAATGCTATCTTAGAGATGTTAGTCTAGCAAACTTCCTAGAGCAATAGTTGCAAAAGGACTGTTTTTTAAAAATAAATACTTACAATTCTTCATTTTTGAAAATTGGATGATTCCTAATTACATTGTTTTAAAGGTTTAAACTGCAACCACGTGTGCATGATTTTCTGAAGTAGATGCGTTCATGTGAAATTTTGTGTAGGAAGTTGGCATTAGGAGAGTCTGAAATGTCAGAGTAAGGAGATTGGAGGTCTAAGAGTAGCCACAGGCTAGTGTTGCTACCATTTAGAGAAAATACTGGGGCCCCAGTGGTGGGGGGTTTTGGGGAGATGTTGGTTAAAAGGCAGCAAATTTGAGTTAGACAGGAGGAATAATTTCAAGAGGGCTATTGTACAGCATGTGATTATAGTTAATAAAAATATATTGTATTTCAGAAAAATACTTAGAGAGTAGATTTTAAACATTCTTGCCACAAAAAAGATAACTTTGTGCATATGTTAATTAGCTAGGTTTAGCCATCCTACAATATGTATATATTTCAAAACATCATATTGTACACAATAAATACATATGATTTTATCTGTCAACTTAAAAAGAATAAAAAAATTTAAAAATGCAAATACCTAGGAAAGGCTTAAACTATTAAAAATAAAGAGAACGCAGGAAGTAAATTCTTATATCCTGTTGGTAATAACAGTGTATGTTCCCAATCTGCGTGATTAAGTTGAAGGTCAGACTTATTCAAATTTTTCATGTCTGGCTAATGTACACTTTACTTCAAAAATTAAATACATTGGCTTTCATTCTTAATTACATTTTATTTTTACTAAAGCATCTGGGCTCCTAATCATGATATATTAAGTTGGCACCTATAGCTGATTTGTTATGCAATAGGTCTACAAAGTGATTTTATTTATATTGAGTACCTTATCACATTTTGGGGGGAAAGATTTCATAAGGAAGTTGAATGTTTAATTCTTCTTGAAAATGAAAACTTGGGCTGACACTGAAAGAGGCAGTCCGTGCTGGCTGGAGCGAGATGTGGCGTTGTGGAGACCTTGTCCTGTTCTGCTGTAATGGTACTTACCAGTTTTGTCTGATGGCTCTTTCTCCACCAAACTCCCATCATCTGTTAGGCTACTAAAAATCAAAAAAAAGTCAGTCATTATGTGTAGGAATAAGTGAAATTTTAATCACAGACAAAATTGTTATTTTCATTCTCACTTGACTTGTATATCAAATTGTTTTGGCAACTTCTCAAGTTAATTAATTCTGGCAGATACCCTTTGATGCCTGTGCTGTGTGTCTTAGGAAGGCAGCACAGTCTCTGTTTCATGTGGTTTTATGTCCTTTTCCCGCACTTGCCATTAAAGACTAAGAAAATTGCCTACTTGCAATGTTTCTTACATATATACAGGGAGTGTTGGAAAGGTGGAATGCACTCATTAAATCCCAACTTGATGCATCTCAGGATTTAGGAAAGGGAGTAATGGTAATGATAATTATAACAATTACAGGCATAAAATAATCTAGAGATATTCCCTGAGTACATATGCACCAGCTATTGTTCTAAGCACTTTACTTACTTAATCTTCCTTATAACCCTATTATTAACGCCATTTTACAAATGAAGAAACTGGGGCACAGAGAGGTTAAGTAACTTGCCCAAAGTTATAGATCTAGCAAGTAGCAGAGCCAGGATTCAAATATAGAATATTTTGCCTCCAGAGTCAATGTTCTTAACCTGTGCAGGATAATATAGTAAATGAAGTGCTAATGGACCTTCCTTCTGAAAAGGGTGTGGTGTGATGCTCCAAAACAGTGCTTTCTCATCCAAACCTAACGTGAGCCACAGATATAATTTAAAGTTCTCGAATAGGCACAATAAAAAGATACAAAGAAACAGGCAAAATTAATTTTGGCAATATATTTTACTTAATCCAGTATATCCAAAATATTATCAGTTCAACATGTCATCTACATACAAAATTATTGGTGAGATCTTTTACCTTCTACTGTTTCATGCTAAGTTTTTGACATCTGGTGTGTGTTTTACACATCTCAGTTCATCTGGCCACATTTCCAGTGCTCAGTAGCCACATGTGGCTAGTAACTACCATATTAGATAGCACAGGTCTAAAAACACCTCACAAATGGTATATTGTTCTCTTCCATTTCAAGAGACTTTTTAAATTGCATTTGAAAAAATTTGAAGAAAAAAGGGATATCATTAAGTGAAGAAAGTGGTTTATAACTTTCAAATGTTAAAGAGGCTCTGTTAAAAAAAAAGTGGCCACGTGTCCCAAAGGGGGATCCTTTGGAAACGATTATGTCTGTAACAATAACATAATTCCCTGGCGCCCCGCAGAGCAGGTTGGGGAGCAACTGACAGTACTTTGAAATATTCTTTCAGCCATCCAAAGAGTTCCTCAGAGATTTTTCCAGGACTACTGAGAATACTATGTATCAGGGATGGAAAATTTATCGTTTAACAGAAACATAACTTCTGCTTCCCATATGATTCATTTGATATTAGAAATATTGTTTTATTTGTAGCACTTTCATCCATATTAGACACTTGGGTTTAGCTGTTGAAACATTGTAACACCTACATGTGATTATTTGAACATCTCCCTTAAGGTCATTTGCAAATGTTTACCATCAGCTGGTGATTTGGGGACCTTAGTTACTCTCTACACAGTAGTCCTTGTTAGATTTTAAATCATTTCCATTGTTTAAAGAGTATCCCAAACTGTTAACTCCATTATAACCTTAGTCCTTTCTTCTAGTAGCAAGATACTGGTCTGGGAGTGACTTGGAGAACGCAGTTCTACTTCTCTGAGGCTCAGCATCATTATTTCACAGTGTTTGTTCCCAACGACCTTTCTGAGGTTTTTTTTTAATGGATTAACAAGGGTAATACTCATAAAGCAATAAGAGCAACTTAAATCCTAAGTAACAATAGCTCTCCTCCCAGAGCTCCCAATCTGTTCGTTTTTTGCAGTGCTCTGGCCTTTCCTTCTAAATCATTCTCCCTGAATGCTGACGGAGATAACGGCAGCTGGAGACCATTATCCTACTCTTCATATTTTTGAGGCTTTCTATAGATGGGCAGTTCTTAGAAGAGGACTTCTTGCTTCTTGTTCAGAGACAGATGCCATTTAATGTCTTAGGCAAGCAATCCATGAGCATTATCCCCATCGTCATTGGACCCTGGCTCACACTTCCGTTCATATATGTGAGCAAAAGGAATTTTGGGGGAATTGAACACAATCCGCCTTCTAAGTGAACTTAATTTCTCTCAGGATTTCAGTTTGTTAGCCCTGTAAAGAGAGGGGTTGAACTACATGATTCATTGAGGAACCTAGGGCTTCCAGAGGCTGACAACATTGACGCAGAGGCAGCCGGGCCTGGGGATAGGAGATGCTGGCATGATCAGGTTTCCCGCTAAAATCAGTCTCCCTCCACCTTGCCAAGGTGCCCCTGCCATGGGATGCAGGCAGAAAGGAAGCCCTGTTGGAGATCTTTGGGCTCTTTACATCCAGAGAGGATTGCCAAGGCAGGGTAGACTGATCTGCTCAGCAACTGCTCTCTTGGGATAGCCTTGGCTCTCTGCAGAGAGTGCTGAGGGGTGTACACTTTGAGCCCAGGTCCTAATGCTGCCTCATCACTTTTCTAAATACTTTTTGAACTATCAGACTAAGGCCAATGTGGTCCCTAGCTTAATGCCTACCTCATGGTGATGGACTTGGCCTGCTTCTTGGTGCCCTGGCCCCATGGCGATGAAGGCAGCCTGCACAGCTGGGTGTGCTTGCCTTGCTTGAGCACTGGCTAGCTGATCAGAGTGCAGGCTGTTGACCCTGACACCATGTGTGCTGTAGCCATCTGACTTGGTTAGGCCAGCAGTGCAGACAGGGGGACTGTTACAGCCAGTTCACGTGACTGGGGACAGAGACCAGCCCTCCCCGGGGGCAGCTGGTGGAATGAAGCTCTCTTGCAGAAGGGGGTTGGAATGCCAAGTGGTGGGCATTTTCTTCTGATCCTCATACAGACCAACCTTACTTCCACCCTAGGAGCTATGTAACATCTGATGTCTCTGCTAGAAGATTTTCCCCAAATTTTCAAAAAAATTCTCTCCTTCATTTCATTTAAGTTTCTCTCTAACCTTCACAAAAAGGCCACTCCAGCACCCCTCGCAATTTCCTTTATCCCCTCACACTCCTTCACTCATCATTAGTACTTGCTACTGCCTGAGATCATGTCATGTCACGTATTCTACGAGTTCATTGTCTTTCCCACTAGAATGTAGACTTCACAAGCTCAGGAACTTATCTTGTTCCCTTTGTGCAGTGCCTGGCACTTAAGAACTGTGTGCAGCTCATAGCTGGCACTGAAGAATATCTGTTGACTGAGTACATGGCCCTTGGGAGCCCTCAGGAGTGCCCAGATTTGCCTCTTTCTGTCAAGTGCTCTGTTGGTGTTTAAGGTGCCCGTGATAAGATCTGGAGTGGTTGTGTGTAAGAAATGGGGCTCGAGTGTTTCCCTACTGGATGGAGAGAGGGGACAGAGTGGAGATCTGAGGAACTGTTTGGTCTGAGGTGACGAGGGCCTTAAACCAGGCAGTGGTAGTGAGGAAGAAGGAAAGCTGAGGTCCACAGGTGTTTCTGAGGTATAAATATAAATATAAAAATA